GTTGGGACTGATTGTTAGCGTCTCTGGACGCGTTAACTGCTATGGCCATTAGTCCCGTACGTTCCCAGAACCCTTTTGCCACCTCCTTCATACTAGGAAAGGGAAGTTCCTTACGTTCACATTTGTAGGGGAAATCCCCTCTGAGACTTGTAGAAGTTAAAGTCACGTGTTTCGTCTACGTAACTGATTTTGAAGATGGACTCAAATCGAACGTGATTTTTCTGTTAAATATCATTCAAGTCATTCAGCTACTGTTGGCTACAATGAAATACGAGTAGAAACGATATAGAAGCTCACGTTACCAAATTCAAAATTAAAATTAATATGACTAACGATAAACTTTTTCAATCAAAATATGTAGAAAAATTAGCAATTTGCAGAAATGTGAAACTTATTAATAATAGAGGCAAAATAAGCAAGATACGCTTCACAAATCGTGGTGATACAATAGGAGCTTGGGTTTTTCATGCATCTGCAATGAAAACCTGTCTCTATTCGTCACTGTAGCGCATGGATCGTATTTGTGTTAACTACCTGGCTTGTAGAACACTCGAACTGTCCTTTCTCTCTTATCTGATTTGCAGTGAATGCTAGAAAATTGTGATGCAATTCTGAGTGCCGCAAGAAATTACACAAATAAAACAAAAGAAAGAGAATTACCTGACACTATATATATTTATACAACGATCATTTTTTGGTGTATCGCGTCCGACAAATGGTACAATGCAAGTGTTAATTTTAATATTTGAAATTGGCTGAGTGTTTATGTGAGTTCTATTAAAAAAAGAACGTTTCACCTGCTGGATTCATTATGCTCAAATTTTTCATGAAGACTTATACACGGCCGAGGAGAAAAATAAGGATTCGAGATAGCAAAACGTTGCCCCTGAATTTAGTTGCACTCCGAAAGTTGTAATAATGGAAACGATGCAACTGGCAATGCCCCAAAATGGGATTGTTGACGGGCGACGCGATTCAGATAGGGGCAGTGTTGCCATATCGGCGGAAATCCCGCCGTTTTCAGCGGATTTTAAACTCGTACGGCGGAAAAAAAATTAGTTTCGCGGACAGCGGAATAAACGGCGGAAATTAATAAAGTTAGTAAAGCAGTAAAATTAGTAAAGAATCAGTTTTCGTTAACCTTTATCAATAAGTTGCTTTGCACAGATGTATATTTTTAAAATTTCTAAATCTATGTTACTAGCAAAAATAAATAATGTAATACTAATATAATAAATTATATAATACCTAAAATCAATTGTTATTATTTTGCAAAATTTCACACAGGTAATGCATTCTATATTATCTAAAAATTGAATTGCAGGTTCAATAAAGCCACTATATTTCGCAATCAT